AGTCACAATTCAACTAAAGCCCAAAGCCCAAAATAGAACACATCGGAGATTACTTTAATCTTATTTCAAATGGGTCTGGAGTAATTTACTTGGGAAGCTTGCTCGCCACATCATTAGTTGTCCAATACAAATGAGGAAAAGATTGGAAAAGACCTAATCATGCTAGGATTTTGACTAATATGACACGCCCCGACCCTGATATTCCCCGAATACCAGGATAGACACGTGCTGGCCGACACCCGAGGGTGACGAAAGCCATTAATTGATACAACAGCTAAGAATAAGAAATAAAGACGGGTTATGAATTTAAAATACCATGAATTACTAATTTAGGAACGTGTTCAGAGCATACAACTAAACCTAATCACTAAAAAGAATTGAGATAGAATTGAATGAATAAAGAAGTGAGTCCTGCATTCGAGAAGATCCGAAGATGCTGCTGCGGAAGTGTCTTGACGTCGGGATTATGTGCCTTGATTCTAAGTCCTGAATGGGGGCGCAAAACAAAGGTGAGTGGACCAAGTTTATATATACAATAATAATAAAACAGGTATCAACATACTAACCCCCAAAGTTTATATATAATGAAAACTACTAGCATAATAAGTGATGGATTTAATAAAAATCCTAGCATGCCAAAATATCTCAAAAGTCACGTCGCGGAAACGCATCGCGGAAATCAAAACGGTAAACGCATCATAAAATCGTCTCGTAAACGCGGTGTGCTGCTAGAAAGATCACTGAATAAATATAACTCCCGGCCCAATGCCTGCACCTCAGTCTCTGTGCCCGTAGCCAGAGATAACTCCCTCCCGGCCCAATGCCTGTCTCCGTGTCCCTCAGCCTTTCGCTAGGGATTATTTCTTCCGGCCTACATGCCAACACCAGATCCTCGCCCCAGGCGGCATAGTGTCCACTAGGTATGCACAAATAATTACGTCTCTCTTAAATAACCACTTAATAGCATAGGTTACCGATCATCATCTGCACTATAAAGAGGGGTTCAAAAACATGTTCTAGCATCATATCGTCATCTATAAGATAGTCTACCAGTTCATGGTTTTTATAGAAAATATGATATATATTAAAATATAGCTCAATATAAGCTAACAATTATTTCCTCACCAAAACATGAGACGAAATCAATAAATTCAGTAAACAGGATTGATATAAATCAATTCACAAAATTCGTAGGCATGCTAATCATTTATGCAATTACTATAAAATCATGTAATTTTAGAAGGGGTCCACTCACAGTACTTAGTTGCCAAAAGCTGCGCCACTAGCGAAGATGGAAACGTCACAATAATTGTCCCTAAGCACATAAAGAGTCCAATAAATAAAACTATATAATAGCAATTGAATTTGGGAAAACAGACATTGGAAACGGATTCAGAACGTCGAATTACCCTAAGAAGAGTCCCGGACGAAAACCCGAAAAGTCAACCCTAAAGTCAACGTTGACCGGGGGTCAACTGTCAAACTAGGTCAAACGAGTTTTAGGCTTGAATCCGGATTAGGGTTAGGTTAAATAGGATTAGGATCTATTGGGTTTTGGGTTTAGAGTCCTAAGATTTTTGGGTTTAAAAGGGTATTAGGGTGAAAAGGCTTTAGGGTGAAGAAGAGGGGTTTGGGCTTAACCCAAACCCACACTCACACACACACACACGGGCTGCACAAAGGCAGGCCCTCACAATACACACACACACAAAGGCCCTAAGGCCTCACAAAGAGCAGGGCTTTAAGCCCTTCGACAGAAATCGGCCCAAGGCCATTTTAAAACTATAACTAAAAGATAAAAGGGTGCGGGCTGGGTTACTGGGCTAGCCCAATTGACTAAGGCCCGAGGGGTTCTAATGGCCTGAAAGGCCTGATTGCCGAGGAAGAAGAAGGCCGGAGATTCGGCAGGAAAATGCACAATCTTTAAACGGCCATAACTTTATCACTACTCAACGAAATTAAGCGAGACAAAAACGAAAGTTGTAGCCCTTGAAGAGACGAAGAGAATGGTATCTCACAAAACGTCTAACTCGACGTGGTTTGGCCGGAAAATTCCTCGAAAGTCTCGGAGGTCGCCGGAAACTGGGTAAGATTCAAATGCGTATAACTTCTTCAATACTCAACGAAATTGAGTGAAACGAAAAGTAAATTTATAGTACTCGACGAGACGAAGAGATTGATACCTTACACGCCGGCCAACTAGCCGTGGTTTGGCCGGAAATGGCCTCGAAAGTCTCCGGAGTCGTCGGGGGAGACTTGGGTGTTCTCAGGGTGTCCCGAAGCTTCGTCAAGACGAGGGAGAGAGAGAAGAAGGTTCCAGAGGTGATGGTGGTATCGTAGCTAGGTGGTTATGGTGGTGGGTGCTCACGGTGATAGAGAGGGAGAGAGATGAGTGAGTGCAGAGATAAAACGAAGAAGAAGGAGGAGGTTACGGGGAGAGCAGAGAAGAGAGAGAGACCGAGGGAAAAACAAAAAAAATTATAAGGTGGGCCCTACGGGCTCACCAATTAACACTAAGGTATTAAATATCGGTAATATCAGAAATATCGGTAGTCCGAAAACACGGAAATATCGATGGAAATATCGGGATAATATCGATATCGATAAAAATTACATGGAAACCACGGAAATTGTAAGAAAAAACTTGGAAATTTTTATTGAAACTTTGCAGGATGTTTATTTAGTCAATTATCTATTAGTTTATCACAAAAAATTGGAAGGAAATGCATTGCATGATGAATTTAACTTATTTAAGTTGATTATATAGTGAGCTGGCAAACATTGTGAGTGTAGAAAATATATAGTAATTAATGAGAGAAGTTTAAACACACCATAATCATTTATATATAATGAATTAGTACAATATTTTACACTTTATACATTGCATGGTAAGATACATTAGTGACTCAGTACCACATAGAGTTCCTATGAGGTTCAAAATTATATTGACGTAAAATACTATGTCAAGAAAGTTGCCTTACAAGTTAGATGGCTTTATCTTTATGTCTCCTTCTACCAATTTTTCATAAAGCAATCCATCAGTTGGTATATTTCTAGTTTAGAAGGGTCACATCTTCGAATAAGGCCTTAATGTAAAACCCCTCCCTTTGGTTTATAATTTTATTTTGTAGGTTTTTATTTTTATTTTTTATTTTTAAATTATTGTTTTTGGATCTTAATTAGTGAGCCAAGGGGCCCACCCCCTTATTTTTGTCCCCGAGGCTCTCATCTCTCATCTCTCTCAGTCCTCTCTTTCTCTCCACTTTCCCATGCTCTCCCTCTCTCTGCAACTCTCATTCCTTCTAGTTCTTCGGTTCTTCACCGAACTCACATACACACACACCAGCACTCCCTCATCCCCCTCGTTCTTCTTCTCCCTCTGCTAGTGCAGACAAGGATGGTAGCACCATGGAAACCGGTGCAAAAGTTTGGAGAAAACCAAAACCCAGTTTCCGGTGTGGACCGTGGGTTCCAAGGCGAAACTCCGTCGAGCTCCGACCACGGCATGCCTTGAAAATGGTATAGATCTCTTCCTCTTCCCTTGGGCTTCAGTTTGGTAGTTTATTTGACATGTGTTGGTCACGTTTTGAGGTTGACCAGAGCTTGTAAGCTCCGGCGTCCTCTTTCCGTCGAAACCAGGCCAAAATATCGCGATAGTTTCGGAAATATCGCGATATTTTGACGAAAACCCGTTGGATACCTATTAAAATATCGTTACCTGAAAAACCGATAATATCGGCGATATTTCACTGATATTATTGGCATTTTGTTCCTTGATTAAGACCTTAAAACAATTTTTAAATAAAAGTGGGGCTGGGGTGTTTCAAATATATGAAAGAGAGATTGTAGGAAGTCTGGAGGACGTTCCCTTTGGGGGATTCTCTGCGACATTTTGAGGAGGGGAAGACTTTAATCATCTATTATTCTATATTTCAATATCGTTCATAAGTTTTTCATATTCTTTTCTAGACTTTTCATTATGTTTTTATACTCTATGAATAACTAAACCCTTTTCTAGGGCTAGGATGATGCCCTAGCATGAATGTTTATGGTTTTCAATGACTATTTGATGAATATTTAGATTCGGTTTAGTTTATCAAATTGGAGATTGAATTAGAATCATGTGGGAACAATACTTGGACATGTAAAACGCTATATTACAATTATCTTGTGCACTTGCAAGTTTACACTAAGTTTTTGGCGCCGTTGCCGAGGACTCTAATTGAGTCCCCCAACTTGATATCTTATTCCATATCTAATAAGTCGTTTATTGTAGTTTATTCAATTTATTTTGTTTTGTTCTCTATTTTTTAGTAAGAGTCATAACTATAAGATAAGTAAAATGTAATTTTCGTCACTGTTTTATTTCAGTTTCTATATCACTGTTTTGACACAGTTTTAGACTGACCTATTCGAGTTTTTACCAGGCACATTTGAGTTGCAAGAAATTTGCAAAATACCAAGCAGTCGTTAAACAAGGAGCAAAGTTTGATCGATTATACAAGGTAGACGTTCATTGCAACTTGAGTTGATTCCTATAGATCAAGAACTTGAGTACACTTTAAGACACTTGCGAAGATAGTAAGATGTTGAACGATCAATTATAGGTGACAAGAACAATGGTGGAAATGATCCACCCCTACAACCAAGGCTCATGCGTGACTACACAAAACCAATGGAGTACAATGCACTGTCGTGCATAGTATTGGCCCCCATTGCGCAGCAATTCGAGATTCGCCCACAAATAATTCAACTGTTGCCTATGTTTTATGGGAAGGAGGAGGAAAATCCTTACCATCATATCAAGGCGTTCTTCAAGCTATGCTCCACATTCACCTTTACCAATGTTAGTGAGGAACAAATTCGACTTCGTCTATTCCCATTGTCTTTGAGGGATAAAGCAAGTAGCTGGTTGGATTCCCTCCTTAAAGCCTCCATTAACACATGGATAGATTTATCCAAGAATTTTCTATCCAAATTCTTCCCTGCTTAGAGAACCAATGCTTTAATTAATGAAATTATGGGTTTCCGGCAGCAAGATGGTGAACAATTTCATGAGAATTGGGAGCGATATAAGGACTTGTTTCTTCAATGCCCTCATCATGGTTTTAATACTTGGCCGAAGATTCATTATTTCTACAAAGGTCTAAACCCTTAATGTAGGAGCTTGGTTGATTCAACTGTTGGTGAAACTCTTATGGACAAAGCGCCAAAAGGCTCCATAAGTGCTTTTGAGGCCATATGTGAAAATTCTGAGCATTGGGATTTTCCTACAATAGACTCGAGATCCATAATTACATCGTTAGAAAAAAAAAATGAGGTCTTTATGAAGTTGATACAATGACTGGTTTAGAAGCACAAATGGTAGCCCTTACGAAGCTTCTCATTCCACTAGTGAGCAAGATAAGTACACAACCTTGTACTTTATGCGCTAGCATCGCCCATGATACTGCAAGTTGTCCAGCAAATTTTATTTAAGAAGGGATGCAAAAGGTCAATGTATTTAGTAGAAGGCCTCGAAATAATCCGTACTCCAATACATATAACCCTGGGTGGAGAGAACATCTTAATTTATCGTGGAGGGACTCGCAAAATACCATGGGACCATCCAATTCATCAAGGTCATACCAACATCCCTATCATGCTCCAACTGATTAACAAGAAGATCCTACTGTGAAGAAGATGCTAACTCAATTGTTGAAACAAACAAAACACTACGATCAAAGTATATCAACACTTTAGAAAGGTCAAGTTGAGCTTGAAAAACAAATGAGGTAGATTGCTACGTCTGTGAGCAAACTTGAAAGAGAGCAGGGTTGTTTTCCAAGCCAAACAGAAATGAATCCAAGAAATAATGAGTAGGTGCAGGCCGTTACAACTTTGAGAAGTGGGAGGGAGATTGACAACAAGGTTAAGATACGTGGAAAAGTTGAAAAAAAAAGGGCCACAAATATGAAAGACCGGCAGCTAGATCATGGTATCTTGAAACAACCATCATCGAGCCGAAAAGAACTTTATTTGGTCCAACACTTAAGGATACGGTGTATGATCCTCCTTTATCATTCCCTTAGCATGCAAAGAAAACTAAAAAGGATCAGTATATGGGGCATATATTGGAACAATTCAAGAAAGTTCAAATCAACATCCTATTGCTTGAAGCCATCAAAGAAATTCCTTCCTATGCAAAATTTCTCAAAGATCTCCGCACAAATGAAAAAAAAATATGGAGAAAATGAGAAAAAGTAATGCTTCTAGAGGCTGCTTCAGTTCTTTAACAAAAATTGCCACAAAAGCTTCAGGACCCAGGAAGCTTTACAATCCCATGCATTATTGGCAACAAAACATTTGAAAGGGCTTTGTTCGATTTAGAGGCAAATGTTAATCTTATGCCCTATTCTGCATATGAGGGTTTAAGCTTGGGGGAGCTGAAACCTATTTCAATATCTTTGCAATTTGTGGACCGTTCTGTGAAATACCCAAGAGCATTATTGAAGATGTACTTGTCAAAGTTGATCAATTTATCCTCCCAACTGATTTTATTATTTTGGACATTGAAGAACATGAGATCAAAGATGATGAACTTCCTCTCATCCTAGGCCAACCCTTCATGGCAATTGCAGGTACAAAGATTGATGTCAAATCCGATTTACTAACCATGACTGTGCAGGATATTACTATTGAGTTTCAGGTGTTCGAAGCTTTAAAAAAAATTCTTTGGGAGCTTATGATTGTTTTAGTATTGACGTTGTGGATCATCTCATCGTAAAGATTTTCATTGAGACAAGCATTGATAACCCTCTGGAAGTATGCATCACACAACATGGCATGGAGTTTGAAAATGAAGAAAACATAGTAGTTGTGGCAACACTCAATGTCGCAGCCATTTACCCATTTAGATGGCAACCAAAGTTTGAAACTTTGCCTCCACAAACCAAAATTGTTCCATCCATTATTGAGCCTCCAAAGCTAAAATTGAAGCTTCTTGTTGATACGTTAAAGTATGCATTCTTAGGAGATTCTGAAACTCTCCCCGTCATTATTGCCTCTGGTCTAAGTGCATGTGAAGAAGAAAAACTACTACGGGTACTAAGAGAACACAAGACAGCCTTGGGATAGACAATTGCAGACATTAAGGGGATCAGCCCTTTTATGTGCATGCATAGAATACTACTTAAAGAGGAATCAAAGCCATCTATAGAAGCTCAAATATGTCTCAATCCTCGTATGAAGGAAGTGGTACGTGCTGTAATTTTGAAATTGTTGGATGTTGGGGTCATATATTTGATCTCTGATAATAAATAGCTAAGTGCAATACATGTAATACCAAAAGGATCATGTATTATTGTAGTAAAGAATGAAGAAAATAAGATGATTCCTCAGAGAATGGTCACAGGTTTAAGGGTATGTACTGATTACAGAAAGCTCAAAGATGCCATAAGAAAATATCAGTTCCCTTATCCCTTGATTGATCAGATGCTTGAAAGACTTGTAGAAAATCAATATTACTGTTTTCTTGTTGGTTATTCTGGTTACAACAAGATTGCAATACCTCCAGAAGATCAAGAGAAGACAACTTTCACATGCCCCTTTGGAACTTTTGCGTATAAACGAATGTCATTTGGATTATGCAATGCACCAGCAGCTTTTCAAAGATGCATGGTGAACATTTTTTCTAACATGGTGGAACGAATTATTGAGTTATTTATGGATGATTTTCGGTCTTTGGTTCTTCTTTTGATGAACGTCTCCATAATCTTACATTAGTGTTGAAACTTTGTCAAGAGACCAATTTGATTTTGAATTGGGAGAAACGTCACTTTCTAGTGAAGCAAGGCATTATTTTAGGTCATGTTATTCCCTCTAAAGGCATCCAAGTGGATAAAGCTAAAATTGAATTGATCTCTAAGTTCCCAATTCCTACATCTATTAAAGGAATTCGATCTTTTCTTGGGCATGCAAGGTTCTGTAGAAGGTTTATTAAAGACTTTTCAAAAATCACCAAGTCTTTATGTGAGTTTTTGGTTAAAGATGTTGTCTTTGATTTCAATGAAGAGTGCTTAAAATCATTTGAAATGTTGAAAAAAGAGCTAACACGAGTTCCCATATGTAAGCTCCAAACTAGGATCTTTCATCCAAATTGATGTGTGATGCGTCCGACTATGCAGTTGGTGCTATTTTAGGATAACGAGTTAACAAGCTTCCTTATATCATATATTATGCTAGCAAGACTCTGAACGATGCCCTAATTGAACTACTCACAACGGAGAAAGAATTACTTGCAATAGTCTTTGCTTTGGAGAAATTTCGAAGCTATTTGATTGGCTTTAATGTGACTATATATTCAGACCATGCTGCTCTTAAATATCTTTTACCAAAAAAAGATGCCAAGCTCAAACTTATACAATGGATATTATTGCTTCAAGAGTTCGATTTCAACATTAAGGACAAGAAAGGGTGCGAGAATGTTGTTGCAGAACACTTGTCTAGATTAAGCAATGCCAAAGTAGCAGATGCATAGCTTCCAATCAATGATCACTTCCCTGATGAGCAACTCTTCTCTATTCAAGAACTCCCATGGTATGGTGACATAATAAACTACTTGGCAAAGCAGTTTATGCCCCTGGAATGGTCAAAACAACAAAGGAATGGGGTTTCTATCTACTATGAAGTAGTACTATTGGGATAATCCCTATTTATTCAAGCATTGCCCATATCAGATCATACAAAGGTGTGTGTCTCACTCTGAAGTTCATAGCATTCTCACTTTTTGTTATTCTCATGCTTGTGGATGCCACTTTAGTGCAAATAAGACAGCGTTAAAGGTATTACAAAGTAGATTCTATTGGCCTAGTTATTTAAGGATGCATATGCCTTTGTCATAGCTTGTGATAGGTGCCAAAGAATGGGGAATATTTCTTCCAGAACACAAATGCCGTTAACCAACATTTTGGAAGTTGAATTGTTTGATGTGTGGGGAATCGATTTCATGGGCCGTTTCCCTATGTCGAATGGATATTTATACATCATTGTGGCGGTAGATTATGTCTCTAAATGGGTGGAATCAATGCCGACAAAAGCCAAAGATCATAGGCTTATGTTAAACTTTTAAAAGAGAACATCTTTACTCGATTCGGGACACCTAGAGCTATCATTAGTGATGGTGGTTCTCACTTCATCAACAAGCCGTTTGAAGCTCTCATGAAGAAGTATAACATTACTCATAAGGTTGCTACTTCGTACCATCCTCAAACAAGCGGACAAGTTGAAATTTTGAATAGAGAAATAAAGCATATTCTCTAGAAGATGGTGAGTCAAAACCGCAAAGATTGGGCTAATAAATTGAGTGATGCATGATGGGCATGTCAAACAACGTTTAAAAATCCCTTGGGCATGTCTCCTTATCGACTTGTCTTCGGGAAAACATGTCATTTTGCCGGTGGAGCTGGAACATAAAGCATTTTGGGCTATTAAGTTTTTGAATTTCGACATTCAAAAAGCTGAGAACTTGAGGAAGCTTCAATTTAATGAGCTGGATGAATGGAGGAATGAAGCTTAGGAGAATGCAAAAATCTATAAAGAGAAAACCAAAGCTGCCCAAGACAAAGCCTTAATCCTGAAATTTTTCGAGCCAAACCAAAAAGTTTTTTTTGTATAATTCAAGGCTTAGATTATTTCTTGGGAAGCTTTGATCAAGATGGACTAGACTTTATCTCGTTGTGCAAGCATATCCCCATGGTGTTGTAGCAATCCACAATATGAATAGTGTTTTGACATTTAAGGTGAATGGCCATCATTTGAAGCAAAACCTGGAACTTGTCCCACAAATGAATAAGGAGTTTGTACCTTAATAAGCCTAAATAAAGATTGCTATGTCTGGCTGAACACTAAAAACTTAGCGCTTCTTGGGAGGTAACCCAAGTTTTTGAAGAATAAGGATAGAGCTTGATGTGTGCTTGAGAGTGGACTTCATCATGACCAGGGAGTTCTAAACTAGTGACCCTAGCCTGAATCCAACCATCGCTTACTAATATGTTCCAACGCATGAGGTTATTCTGGATTACAGTGATGTCTTAGATGAGACATACTAGCCTTCCAAGAATCGCGAGATT